CGGGGTGGGGGGGAACAACTGTGGAGCAGCTTCAATGGGATCTCTATATATGTATGTTAGTGAAAAGGGGGGAGCACGGAGCAGCGGTTACTGAGTCCCTGTGGAGCTTCTGTTCAGCCCCAAGGGAGCTTTGCAGTAGGGGAAAATGTTCCCTAAACAGCCTAATGCCAGCTCTCCTTTGTACTTGGTTGCACAGTTTAGTTAGGAGTTGTAGATTCTGCCCCAGGAAAGCTGAACTCCTGGTTTGAAATCTCATGCTGTCTTCTGGACCAGCCCAATCCAGAGTCAGATTCTGTGTTCAGGGGATCCCAGAGGCAGTGGAGAAACTGCAGCCAGGACAGATTCCAGACAAGGAGTCAGGTTCTAAGGGCTGTGAGCAGGGAGCTGCATTCTGGGTGCCTTAGGACTAGGATTTCCCCTCTGTACAGTGGAGGCGTTTGCCACTACGTGCAGAGTCCTGGTGATGAAGGGAGTCTCTGGGCATTGTGCTCTCAGCGTTGCCCTGGCTCAGAGGCATGGACATGAGCTGGGGACATCCCAGCCGCACCACCAGGAATGCAAGTCCTGGAGGCATATATTCCTGAGCGACAGGGCATGGTCAGAGATTGGCCTCAAGTGGAGATGGTGTGAGCTCCAGCTTTGCAAGGTGCTGGCAAGATCTTGTGTGGGATGAACTTGGGCTGCTTAATGACTCACTGGGGAAGGAGGCATAGGCCCCCCGGGAACTGGCTGCTCCAGCTTTCCCCCCCAAAATTAGCTACCATTGTTAGCACTGATTCAGCCCCACTGATGTGAGCGCAGTGCAAACAGGGCTGCAGGCAGTTGGCAGCATTTTTACCACCATATCATCGAACCCTGCCAGAGCACAGCTTGACGTCAAGGGGGAGCTGATCCTGCCTTAGCAGCGGTGGGAAAGTTGGGGAAGGAAGATGAGCAGAGATAAAGCCTTTGATACCATCCAAAATGAACTTACCGCAGGGTGCAGGCCTGCTTACAAGGGATTGTCAGGGTGTCCAATCACCTGTGCAGAGATCCAGCACCATGGCATGAGTGCATCGGAACATTTTTGTCGTCATAGTTTTCTGTTGGAAAATTTTTCATGAAATCCTATTGATTTCTATGAAACTTCTTGCTAAATGAAAATTCTGAGTTATGACTAGTTCTAGCACAGAATCACCTTGTGTTGCAATGTGGGGCTTGGCATGGGTGGTGCGTGGCTCCAGCATTTGGGGAGGCTGGCACGAGCACCAGAAGCTCCCCTGGCGCCTGGACCGTGGCTCCGCTCTGAGGCCCGCCCCTGCTTGGCCTCTTCCCCCCAAGGCCCTGCCCACTCTCCACCCCAAACCCCGCTCCCACTCGATCCCCTCCCCACTCGGCCTCCCCGCCAGCCGCTCGCCATTGCTCCTCTTCTCCACTGTGGGGTGAAGGAGAGGAGCGACTTGGCAGGTGATGGGGTCTTCAGGGGAAGGGGCGGAACAGGGATGGGAAGGGGTAAAGCGAGGGTGGGGCCACGGGGAAGAGTGGGAGTGGGACCCCGGGGCAGAGCACAGGCAGGGCAGCAGCCCAGGCGTCTGTGCTCTCAAAGGCAGCGGGTTGGCAGCTATTTGGGGAGGCTTAGCGTCCCTTGGCCTTTAATACCTGCCGCCCATGGGGCCTGGCTTGTTAGAAGGGCCGTAAACAGCTACTGATGAGGATCATTTCCCTGGTTTTGTTACATATTCAAGCACCTTCTCCCATTCCAAGTGCAAATCCTGCTCCATTCCTGCACTGGTTATTATTTATAATTTATTTGTATTACCATAGTGCCTGGGAGCCACAGGCATGGCCCAGGACCCCATTGTGCTAGGAGCTGTACAAACACAGAACAAAGCTGTCCCTGTCCCAAAGAGCTTACAGTCTAAGGGCTTGTCTACACTGGCACTTTACAGCACTGTAACTTTCTCGCTCAGGGGTGTGAAAAAACACCCCCCTGAATGTTCAAGTTTCAGTGCTGTAAAGCGCCAGTGTAGACAGTGCAGCAGTGCTGGGAGCCACGCCCCTCGTGGAGGTGGTTTTTTTAGCGCGTTGGGAGAGCTGTCTCCCAGCGTTCTGCCGCGACTACACAAGCCACGTTAAAGCGCTGCCTTGCCAGTGTAGATTAGTCCTAAGCCTAAAACAGCTGGATCCAGACAGAAGAGGGAGTACAAGGAAATGATTGGGGCGGAGGGGTTTCAGCAGTGGGCAGAAGCTGGAGTGGAGAGGTTCTAGCATGGAATTGGAGGAGAGGAACTCCAGACTTTGTGCCTGTGTGTCCCTGAATGTTACTGAGAGAAGCCATTGGAACTGGTGGGAGACTTTTTTTAGCTGAGCAGCAGCAATAAAACCCAACAATGTGGAGTAGGAAACTGTGCCCGAAACTCCATCCCATGCAGAGCTTGGAAGTGGGAGAGAAATGGAGTCCACAGGAGGAAATGCCCCTGAATGAGGGAATCAGTCTGGGGCCCAGGGAAAGGATGGGGATGCAGGCTTTGTGGCTGCCCGGCCTGTGCTGCCCCTTTAAGAGCAGGAAGAGGGCAAGTGGTGTAGTTGAAAGTTGCTGGGACCCAGGAATCTGCATGGATAAAATGTCTCTGAATTTGCCTGAGAATGAGGAGGCTGGACTGCTGGGGAGCATCAGGTGGGACAGAAAATCAGGAAGCAGGCAGCTGCCAAGGAAGGGCACAGACAGGGAGGCAGGAGCCCATCTGCATGCTCACCTGCAGACACTGTGCCGCGTGCGTGCGTGTGTGTGTGTGTGTGTGTGTGTGTGTGTGTGTGTGTGTGTGTCGCTTGATCTACCTGGATGTGTCTGTCTAGCCACCTATCGTGCCTGCTGTGTCTGTCCATTCAATTCAGTGTGCTTTATTGGGGTGACACGCAATACATGTGCTGCCGGCATGTATCAGAGGCAGACCCCGTGGTTCTGTTAGTGGGTCTGGTCTGCCAGGACAAGGCTTCACACTGTGTCTGGCTTTGAGCCCTGGCCATTCCTGCTCTGTAGTGCAATGCTATCTGTCCATCTCGCCCATGTGTGCGTCTGTCTATCCCACTTTGCCAGTGTGTCCCTCTGCACTGTTCTGCCTAGGGGCGTGTCTGTCCTGCTGTGCATCTGTATATGTCCTCCTGTCCTGCTCTGCTCTGCTGTGTGTGTCTGTCGTCCTCTGTGAGAGTGTGTATGTGTCTCCTCCACTCTGTCCCTTTGTGTGTCTGTCTGTCCTGCTGTGTGTGTGTCTGTCTGTCTCCCCTGCTCTGGTTGTGTTTGTGCATTCCCGCTGATGCTTAGCAGAGGGAGACACTGGGCAGGGAGCCTGGACCCTGTCTGTGCACTCAGACCCCAAGGATGAGGGCGATGCGAGTGGCTGCATCTGCTTAGGCCCAACCTTTGTCATGGCCAGTCCAGAGAGCACAGACTGAGCCTGGCCTGGCCTGTTATCTTTGGTGTGCCAGCAAGGGAACGTTTGGCATCTAGGATCCAGGAGGTTGGTTATGTGGACCATGGCACTTCCTTGGGAGCTGATGCCAGAGCCTGCAGACCCCACACAGGGCATTGGAGGCCATTCCTGGGTGTGGTGTGTGGGCCCCACTCTCTGGAAAGAGCAAAGGGAAAATGATGGAGACAAAATGCCATGCTCCGGGGAGCTTGCCTGTCCATGGAGGGCTCTGGTACTCACTCCCAGTTGCCTGGGGCAGGAACTCCAGCTCCAGGCTTTGGCACCTACCGGCTCCATTGTGACTGCTGGAGTCATTCTCAGCTATTCAAATGGAAATGCCCTGAGCTGGAGAATAGAAGCCCTGTTCCCACAGCGAGGGGCAGGGCAGGGGAGAGGAGAGCCAGGGGCTCCCAGCCATGCCCTGCACCCCAGCAGGTAGGTAGCTCTGCAGTGCTTCCTCTCTGGGATCCCGCTGCTGGGCGCTGCCCAATCCTCATCCAAAAGGGAACAAGGAGAAAAGGGGCCCATCCTTGGTGGGGGAGGGGAAGCAGGTGGGCTGCCTAGTTCAGCAGGGATCAGTGGAGGGACAGGCTGGGGGGGAGGGACACGACAGTCAGTAGCTCTACAGGGATTGTTCCCAGGGTCCCATTCTGCACAAGAAGGGACAACCCAAGTCCCTGCCTATTTTCTTTGTGTGTATGCCAGAGGGGGGTTAATTTTCTGCTCCCCTTTCCTGGAGCTTGTAGTTTTAACAACCAGTGTTTCCTAGCTCATTAGCATTTACTGTCTGCTGATTTCGGATCGGAAGCTCACTCGTAGGGCCTGACCCTCCAGCAGGGCCTGTAAATGTCTCCAATCTCCCAATCCGGCCAGACTAGGTGATTGGCCACTGGTCTAGTTGTATGTTTGAAAGGTGCAGCCCAGGCAGTTCCCCGGGGGTTCAGGAACTAGAACACTGTGGGGCTGGGAGAGATCTGTGCAGCAAAGCGTGCTCACCTGTTGTGCCTGCTGCCAGAGTCAGCAGGGAAGTGGTTCATATTGGCACAATAGTCCAAGGTGGCCTTCAGCATTTCCCGTCCACCTCAGGCTGAAGTGAATAGACTCCTGGCTGCAGCTTCCCTTTGGAGGTGAGTTGTGGGCTGTGACTGTCTCTGTCCACGCAGCACCAGTTGAATGAGGTCCCAGCGGTCTCCTGGTCTCCTGCAATACAAATAACGGTAATGTGGGAGCGGGAGCAGGAGCACTCGGGGCAGCCAGTGGGATCAGACGTGGAGCCCTCAGGAGTCCTGGACTCATGGCAGGACATGCCAGCGTGCCAGGGTTTGTCCTCGACAGGCTGGAGCTTGAGGGCAGGGCATTCCTGCTGGCCAAGGCCCTCGCCATTCAGAGTGGTTCAGCTGCCCTGGGGCTTGGGGAGATTTCTGCACTTGGCAGGGTCCAGGCAATGCATGTGCCTAGTTCATGTCACAGGCCCCTGGAGGATGCAGGCATCAAAGGGGGCTTGGCCATCGGCTGTCAGTCCCTGGAGCTGACCTTGTCTGTTTCTTTCAGAAATGACCCTCCTTTCCTCGCAGACTGTGTCCCTGGAGGCAGCATCTGGCACAGCTGCCACCGAGAAGCAAAGGATGCTGGAGAAGAGGTCGAAGGTCATTGAGGAACTCCTTCAGACAGAACGGGATTATATCCGAGACCTCGAGATGTGTGTGGAGCAGATCATGGTGCCTCTGCAGCAGGCGCAGGTGGGGAGCCTATGGCAGGAGGCGGTGGGACAAGAACAGCCAGACAGGATCAGATCAGGGGTCCATTGAGTCCGGTTCCTGTCTCTGACAGTGACCACAGCTGGCTGGTTCAGTGCGTGGACCCCTAGTGGCAACTGTGGAATCTCCTGCTCGTTTCGCTCTAACTTGTGTCATTTAGTGTATGGTTAAATTTTTGTTGTGGCTTATGTGACTCGGACCATAATCATTGTCCATAGAAATGTCCAATCCTCTTCTGAATCTTGCCAAACTCTTTACTCACTCTTGTGGCAGTGAGTTCCACAGATTAATTATCAGTGGGGTAAAAACTTATCTCCTTTGATCTGTTTTAATTTTGGTGGCATGAGAGACGGTTGTGGTTAGTGGAGCTGGACTACAGCCTGTGGGAGGATGGGGGTGCGAGGCAGAGGTTGCTGTGGGGGGATTGGTGTGAGGTGGCGATTACTGGTGCAGGGTTCGGGGTACAAGGCAGGTTGCTGTAGGCGGATGAGGGTGTGAGGCGGAGGTTGCTGTGGGGGATGGGGGTCCATGGGTGCAGTTGCTGGTGGGGAGATAGGGAATGCGAGGC